TGCAGTGTGGACGCAGCTTTAGCCACAGACCCGAGTCAGAAGATCTCTGTAGCTCAGTACGGTCACATTAACACGGCTGTGAGACCCAGATCTTAGCAATTGTCATCCCATGTTTACAATGCAGTGTGAACGCTCAAGCGCAGACTTGGAACTACTGAGACCTCATGCCTGGGTCCCACGGAGCCAGGTTTAGGATGCCATGTTGACACACCCTAAGTGTCTGTACCAGGCCCAGAAATATGGACCCTGAATCTTGGATGGAGCATCTAAGCTCTCGCCATAATCAGTGATGCCAACTCTGCTGATTTTATCGTGAGCTGGTTTGTCTCAAAGCCCCAGTGCCTGGAGTCATCGGATTACCCTAGAATCTCAGCCCCCCCGTTGACATAGAAAGTAAGTTCCTCGCTCTTGTGGTTCCAGAGAAAAGCTTCAAAATGCAGCCAGAGTGAGACCCTAAAAGCTCAGAAACCAGCAGAAAAAAGAAAAAAAGTACAGGCAAGAAATCTCATGATTTTGAAGCCAATCTCTTGGTTTTTGAGGACTGATTCACATTTGAACAATTTGGGTTGGCAAAACGGGGTGCAGCCGCAGTGCATCTGTCACTCAGGCTAGAGGACTTCAGATTATGGAGGCCTAATCCTCCCCCATCCATTCATGGCTGTGGCATCTGAGTCCCCCAGCCCCTATGTCTCTCCATATTGCCCCCCTGCCAACACCCCCTCATCCACCCACAGTGAGGGAACCAAATAGGCCCTATGCCACCCCGAGGTATCCAGTGGTGCTGTGGCAAAGGCCTTCACCTAGGAAGTGGGAGACACCACTTCCTGCTCCAAACTGGGCCCAGCAAGAACATGAAGCCAGGTTTCCCACCTCCGAGGCGAGTGCCCTGACCCCCAGGCTGGGAACCTTCTTCTCTCTGGCCCAAGGACAATGTGAAGTGTTTACACTGGGTGGGACAGCTCCAACAAGAGACACCGAGAATGAGTCACCTGGCTAAGGCACCCAACTGGCACGGTGTGGGGGGAGAGATTGATTCAAACCAAGCCGAGGACGGACTTGAACCTGGGTCTCTCAAGTTTCAGCTGAGCATCCTCCCCACTGGTCTGCCTAGGGTAAGAGGTGGGATTCGAACCCAAGTGCCAGCCAAGTGCCTTGGCCACAGGGCTGTTGGCCATTCTGGAGGGGGTGCCACTCTATTATTTTTCTGTGAACAGCATGGGAGCTCTCAGTTTCGTCCTGATGCAGTGTGGGAAATTTTTCAAAATCTTGGAAAATGTTGCGGGACTGAGAAAACAATTCCCGTGCCAGCTCTCCCCATGTCATCAATATCTCCTTCGAAAGGGGACAAGGCTCCAAATGTCGGCTACCTGCTCAGGCCAGGAAAGGGTAACAATAATTAATAAGATGGTAGGAACTAGAGTTCCTGTTACGATTGCAAGAAACCTACTCTAAACGTGCCAATATATAGAATAGCCAGTCCCTATCCCAAAGAGCCGACAATCTAAGTATAGGACAACACACAGATGGGAAGTCTAAGGAAATAAGATTCATAGATTTCGAGGCCAGACGGGACCATTATGATTTAGTCTGAGGTCCTGTGTAGCACAGGCCAGAAAATGTCCCCAAAATAATTCCTAGAGCAGATCTGTTAGGACAACATCCAATCTTGATTTAAAAATGGTCACAGATGGAGAATTCACCATGACTCTTGTTCCAATGGCTAATTTCTCTCATGGTTACAAATTTATGCCTTATTTCCAGTCTGAATTTGCCTGCCCCAGGGTCAACCCACTCATCTACTACTGCGGATGCAGAGACATTCCTCTTACTTACACCAGTGGCTTGAATGGTGTTATATAGTGAGCCTGTGGACAACTCATTGCCACCGGCTGGTGCTGAGAGCTAGAACTTAGCAAGAAGCAAAGAGGGCCTGGAAGTTGAATCTCTGTTGCCAACTTCAAACATTAAAAAAAAAAATCATGAGAGTGACTTAAAATCATGATTAAATTTGGGGTTCTCTTAATTTGCCTCCTGATTTCTGAGCCTTTAGGTTCACACTCCATCACATCGCTAAGCTGTTCTCTGCAACTATGATGGCTACAACTTTACTGTAAATAAAACCTCACATTTTCACAGGACTCCAGAAGGTGGGGCTTTAAGAAATATGCCCATGAGCATGAGACTTGTGGTAGAATATGGAAGTTGGCAACCCTGCCATAGGGAGAACAAGAATATCCAGAGTTATAATAATTAATGCTAAAAAACCCCCAAAGAATGTTGAAAATGACCTAAAAGTGTCATGTTTCCGGGCTGAAACCAATCTCTGACTGTGCTATGTTTATCACCCTGATTTTCACAGGTGTAAGCTGAGTGGAGCATCAGGCTCTTGCAGGACAGATATGGAAAAGCAGGGGACTTGTAGAGTAAATTGCTACGCCCTGTATAGCGTGAGTCTGGGTATGATGGTTCGACCCCCAGTCTTGTCGTGGTCACTTAAGGTAGGTCACTTCCCTGACCCACTGATCATTACATAGAGTTAAGAACACCTACAATGTATTACAGAGCAACTAATAAAAAATAAGTAAAAAGGGGGAAGGGAAAGGAAACTAGTTACCCTGCCCTGCGGGCACGGGGACACCACAAACAGCCGCCTCTGCATGGGAATGGAAGTTCACAGTCTGTTCCTCACACCAGCCAGGCCTCCTGCCCAGGCCCTGGACGTGCTGCATTGATACCACAGGGTGACAATCTGTACCTCAAGATAGCACCCTGGAGCCCCCGTATTCACCAATAGGCTGGAGTTATGACAGGTTGGGTACAAGGTCTGCCTTGTGAGGCATCATTTTAAAAGTCTTGATCTGTTAAAGATGAATATCTTGTTGGATTGTTTGTGCTACCCTGGTATGGGAAGTTATGAAGCATTGCTGGGTGTGCTACTGAAATGCGTTGTGAGACTGGGAGACGCCCACAGCCAACCTTTCAACTGCAACAGAGGACCAGCCAGCCAGTGTCAAGGGCTCATCCACACCCATCGAGGAAAGAATCCACTATCCCAGCGACTGTGTCCAATGGAGATTGCTTGACCCATGGGGACTGCCTGATCCCCGGGGCACAGCAAAGATCTTTCCAGCAAGCTGGCAGAAAATATTAAAGAGGGGAAGTGACATCATTCCTTGGCTTCTCTTCCTCCCACCTGGAGGAACATCTGGAGGACAAAGAGTTGGAACTGGGGAAGGGTGGCCCCAGGCTGGAATGGAGTCCAGTCTGTGTACTGAGGATCTGTAACCGGCTTGTACCATCTGCCAGGGGGAGACGCTGCCTGATTTGAATTCTGTTTCATTTGTAGAACTTAGACTGTGAATATATCTTTATTTCTTAAGTAACATCTCTGCGCCTGCTCCTTATAGCCACTTAAAATCTCTCCTTCTGGAGTTAACAAATCTGTTTTATATTTGACCTAAACCACTGTGTTTTGGTTGAAGCGCTAGGGAAATCTTAGCACAGTACCTTTCTTTAGTACTGCGAGAGGGCCTAAAAACCCACTAAGCGTCAGTGAGGGGCCAACAGTCCCCTTACATTAGCAAACGGAGAGACAGGCAGTGGGCGAGAGACAGGATGGAAACGGGGGTGAAATATGGCTTCTGGGGATGGTGTTGGGTGCTGGATGTGGGTTAGTGACAAGTGGGTGTGTTGGCTACAAGGCAACCCTGACCCCTGCTGCTCAGACCCTGGATGGTGACAATCCGGGCAGGACCAGCCCCGCATTGGGTCCATTCTCCTTAGGCAGGGCAGGTGGGATTGGTGCCATACACCCGACTGCAGCACCTGATGGAAAGCCAGGAGAGTGAACTAGGAGAGGAGGAAAGACACAGCGGGGAGGAAAACAGCACAACCAGGGAAGGCAACAGGATCTCCAGGGCCTTCGGGGCGCTGCTAATCAGCTGTCCCCATGTGCGGGCTGGGGGCTGCAGGTCACGGCAATGGGATGACTTCCAGCTCGCAGAGGGGAAAACAAAAGTCCTTAAACAAGAGCCAGGCCGGCCGGCTCCGGCCTCTCCGGGAGAAAGTCCTTTAGACAAGTCGAGACGGGCTGCAGCGCTGGGGGGTCCAGGGATGAGCTGAGGGAAGATGAAGATGAGAGAAGCTGAGCCGGGCTGCAAGGTGGGACGGGGGAGGAGAGAGAGAGTTGGGCCCATCATCGGGTTTTTACCAACGTCACTTTTTAATGAATCCATCGAGGGGGAAAGTGGGGAGCCTAGTCCTGCCCCCTCATTATTTTGCCCCCCAAATAGGCCCTAAGTCCCTCCCGCCAATGTGGGGCTATTGACTCCTGGTTCCAGCTTCTTCTTTCCCCTAGTACGATGTTGACAATTGTGGGGCTGTAGCCAGGGGGCTTTTCGGGTCAGACCAACCCAGCATCTGTGGCTAGTTCTCTCGCCTGGGTTACAATGTTCAGCGTCGTCCCCAATTTCCCCTGGTTCCCCGGGGCCTTGGCACAGCTGGGGAACTTGCCTGTGGGTTTTACATGTGAGCTCACAGCCAGGCCGCTTCGCATGCTCCACAGCCACAACCGTGCGAACGACCCCCGGGCGGCTCAGGCTGGCGGGACGATCCCACATCTTCACCAGTGTGGCTGTGTCGGAGTGTGTCCTGGAGGCCCTGGGCACAGTGGGTGCTGTCCACAAGCCATGGCCCCTAGAGCGTCCTGTGTCCTGACGGCCCCAGCCGCCTTGTAGGGCCTGGAGCTCTCCCCTAGGGTGCCCTGTGGCGTGGGCTCCCCATCCCGCTGCTGTTAGCCATTTCTGCCACCCCCAGACGGAGGCCCTAGTGCAGCCCCTCCCCCAGCCCCACGCTGATCCGGGCCCATCTGGACGCCCTGAGGGCCGCTCAGCAGGGCCGGCTCAGATGGGTTCGGCTGCACTGGTCCTTCTGGCTCCGTCTTGATGATGCGGTGTCATGTCTCTCTGGGTGACAGTGACCCCGCTGCCCTTCCCCCACGCTGGGGCAATCAGGCTGGAGTGGGGGAAATCATGTGGGGGGGGTCACCTCACCTAGCGTCTGCCCCGCCTCCATCCATGGGCAGCCTCGGCCAAGATCAACGCCAGGGCCAGCAGGATCCCGGCGCCCAGGGCCAGACGGACAATGTTGTCCCAGGTGTAATCTGGGGTGACAAAAGGGGAGGGGGGTGTCAGCAGCTGCTCAAGGGGGTGGGGTCGGGAGTCACCATCCAGTCGGATGAACAGGGGCCCCCACCCCCTTTCTGCCCCCCACAAAAGAAAACCACCACAGCCCTATATGTCCATCCTCCCCGTCTATCTAATCTAATCTATCGGCACCCACACCCCTCTCTCCTGGGGCACTGGAACGGGGGGCCATGGTGCTCCCATCTTTTACCAGTGGTAAGGATGGGTGGGAGGGGGCAGAGAGGAGTGAGTGGGGGGCAGGGTCTTGGTGGGAAGAGGTGGCACAGAAAGGGGTCGTTGGGGAAGAGGTGATGTTGGGGCAGGATCTTACGGAAAGGGGCGGCACATGGGCGGGGCTTCAGGGGCAGTTCGACTCTGGTGGGTGGGGCCACGGTTCGGGTACTTGTGCCCCTTCTACACTTTTAGGCTGCTTCTGCCACTCTTGCCTGTGTCCATCTACACCCTCCACACCCACACCCTCCACACAGACACCCCTCTATATCCATCCATCCACAGTGACTGGAGACTGCTCAAGGTAGACGCTGGCTCTGATCCAGGCTGATCGGTCCCAGGCTCCTCCAGCCTCTGTCTGTTTGACATTTCCAGCCTTCCTCCCCCACCCATCCCCAGTACCATGGCACTAGCCAGGCTTGGCGATACCAGCTCTGGCCAATGGGCCCATCTAACCTGGTATCCTGTCCCCCATACTGGCTGCCCCTGGCTGCTTCGCAGGGAGCTCCAGGGTACCCCCTGTGACCACTGATGGCCCCAGCTGCCCCCAGATATGGTTGCCAACTGTCTAATCACCAAAATGCAAACACCCTTGTGCTTTGAGATCATTGGGAGAACCACACTGCTCTGAAGCAATCAGCAGTGGTAGATGTAACAGTGCTGTCATCGCAACAGCCACTGTTAGGTTCCAGAGTCAACAAGGTGTCACTCTGAATTGGCGGGTTCAAGTCTGAACTGCAAAGGCAGAGCCCTGCTTCTGAGCCATTCCCCCAGCCTGTCTGCAGTTGCGGAGAGACAAACCGGATACATGGCAGCATGATCCCCGGCTCTTCAGCCCTGTTTTCCCAGGGGGATACACATTGAGCTGTGCCCCACCTGGGTGGCTTTTTGGTGCCAGGGGGCAGCACAGCACCGGGGTGGGACTGTGCATTGAGGGGAAGCTCTTCCAGGCCCTGCTCCCACCAAGCCGATCTGGCAGCTGTCCAGTGAACCCTCCCCCCAAAGCATACGAAATTAGTCCAGGGGGGTCTCAGCCCAGATGGGACATTTGCTATGGGGATCTGCCCCGTCCCACCCAGCCAGCCCTTCGTGGTTTCCCACAGCGGTGGCTCCTTGGGCAGCACAAACCTGTTTCTGGGGGGGCTGATGGTGATTTCCTGCCTTGAGCCCCGGTACCTGGACTCGCGCTGCCTGAGTGGGTCGGAGCCGGCGCCGTTCCTGGCTGAGTCGGGTCAGTTCCCCCTGCGGGAATAGAACCAGCCCTATAGAGCTAAAGGGGAGCTTGTCTGACAAACCGAATTGTATCAAACCAGGGGGCGCGAATTCCAAGAGCTCAGACTTGCTCTGAGATCACCAGCGGGGGCTGGGAACCACACTGGATTAATCATTTTGGGTCCAGTTTTCATGTAGACAAGGTCTTAGTCCATCTTTCTATCCCTCATCAGACACGCTCCCATCTGTCCACCACCCTACCTTCCCACAGACCGGTGGCTGTAGGTTCCCATGGATCAATCCACCATCCTTTGTGTAGAAGACCTGAACCCATCAGTTCTGCCTGCAGGGACTGTTCCCCTCCAAACGGCCCGAATGGCCCCGTGGGCATGTGAGCCAAGAGCTCTGTTCCCCGGGGGGTGAATTGTTCCATTTCTCCCGCCCCCCTTCTCCCTCCGGCTCCATCATGGGGGGATCCGGCTGCCTGGACCCGGCTGGGTCGGTTCCCTCTGTGGGATTAAAACGAGCGTTGGCTGTGTGGGGGAAATTGCTGTTAACCTTGCTGTTGAAACTGACCCCATCCCATTCTGCGGCAAAATCTATGCACTATATGCAACATAGGCAAGCGGTGTAATGCAAGAGGCCTACAGGCCTGTATCCTGTAAAACTTGGCTTAAGCTAAAGCATTTACGTATGCTAGGCTGTGGCACTTGACCCAGATAATGGACTAGGCCAATCTCTAACTAGAAAAGTACCAAAAGGGCCTCCGGAAGAATCCCTAGCTGTCCATTATATGCACCCTCCACCCTGCAAAAGTCCCTAGTCAAAACGCTGCCACAGCAAGCCGCAGATCTTGATAAGATCTTGATAGCACTGTGCTAGTTATGAAACTGCCCTTCCATTAATTCCTTATAAGGCTTTATTAATAATGCTTGAGTGGTAAGGAAATGTATCGTTTGGCTTGACTTTGGACCTATGTAAGTCTGGTATTATAGGGGCAGGGCAGAGAGAGACCAGGGTGGCACCTGCGTGTGACCATCTCCGTCTCCTTCTCCCTGCACGCTTGTATTCAATAAAAGGACCTCAGACTGTTTGAACCAAACAGATGGTGTGACTCATTTTCCACAACACCTGGGATGGGGGGAGGGATGGAACCAGCATCCAGGCCCTGGTGGCAAGGGGCTGAAACGGTGACTCAGCGATTGGGCTGCTCGCCCCATGACCTGGCATTTGTTATGGGTTCAATTGTTTGGGTTGGTGGGGGGGGGGGTGAATTCAGCGCTGGGGCCGGTGCTGTCTGGGCAGCCCCTGGGCCCCGACTCCTCTGTGCATCCCCAGAGTGGGAACAGCTGAGGGAACATCCCCCTGGGAAAGGCCCCTGCTCTGTAGCTTCCCCTGGGAGCAGGGATCCTCCCTCCCTTGGCCCTCAACCTCCAGCGGCTGCTGCTCCCGCCCCTGGCTGGGAACCCCCCAGTGACTGTCCCCGCTCCTCAGCCAGGTGTCCCCTCTGCTGGGCTTAGGGCTCAGGGCAGAGCCGGCTCCGAGCATCCCATTCGGGCAGACATGCCCTGAGGGTCTGGCTGGGTGTGGGGCTGTGGTTGAGGACCCAAACCGAAGGGAATTGACTCTCTCAAGGGCCATCGAAGTGAGAGCATCTAGACAATGGAGACTGCTGGACCCACCTTTAGGCAAAGATCTTCCCAGTAAACTGGAAGAAGCTATAAAGAGGGGAAGTGACAACATCCCTTGGCCTCACTCCCCCCACAACTCAACACCTGGAAACACGTCTTGAGCATAGATGCCGACTCTGTGGGTGCTCCAGGACCCACGGGGAAAAATTGGTGGGTGCTCTGCACCCACCGCCAGTTCCTGGCCTCCCCTGCCCCAGCTCACCTCACCTCCGCCTTCGCCTCCGCCTCCTCCTCTGAGTGCACCGCGTCCCTGCTTCTACTCCCAGTGCTTGCTGCTGCAAAACAGCTATTTCGCAGCATAACAAGTTGTGGGAGGGAGGGGGGAGGAGCGGGTACGTGGCGCACTCAGGGGAAGAGGCGGGGTGGGAATTTGGGGAGGGAGTCCAATAGGGGCAGGGAGGAGGCGAAGTTGGGGCGGGGACTTTGGGGAAGGGGTTGGAATGGGGCGGGGCAGGGGCGGGAGGGGTCGAGCATCCACCAGCGCCAGGAGAAGTTGGCACCTATGGTCTGGAGGACAAAGACTTTGAACTGGGGAGGGTGGTCCCGGCTGGAAGGCAGTTCCAGTCTGTGTACTGAAGATCTGTGACCTGTGGGTACCAGCTACCGAGGGAGACGCTGCTTGATTCAAATTCTGGTTAGTTTGTAGAACTCAGACTGCCAGTTTATTTTTGTTTCTTAAGTAACTGACCCTGATCTCTACGCTTGCTAGTTATAATCACTTCAACTCCATCTCTCTGGAGTTAATAAATCTCTTTTCTATTTAAGCTCAAACAGTGTGTTTTGGTTGAAGTGCCTGGGAAATCTCAAAAAGAACAGGAGTACTTGTGGCACCTTAGAGACCACAAGTAATCCTGTTCTTTTTGCGGATATAGATTAACAGGGCTGCTACTCTGAAACCTGGGAAATCTCAGCTCACGTTACAAAGGCTGGTGCGTGTCCTCTCCCCATCGAGGGAGGGGCGGACTGGGTAATGAACAGACACTGGCCAGGCTTCTGACCAGTGCAGGACAGTACCAGGCTGGGGATCTGGGAGGGACTTGACTGGCGCGTCCCTATTAATGGTTTGTGAGATCCTGGGAAATCATTCATGTAACTCCGGTGGGTGTGTCCCTGGCTGTGGATGGCTGGGTAAGTGCAGGACCTGCCAGAGGTTTGTAGCTTGACATCAGCATCACAGTTGCGAGGGATACCACAGGTTAGAATCATAGAATCATAGAATATCAGGGTTGGAAGGGACCCCAGAAGGTCATCTAGTCCAACCCCCTGCTCGAAGCAGGACCAATTCCCAGTTAAATCATCCCAGCCAGGGCTTTGTCAAGCCTGACCTTAAAAACCTCTAAGGAAGGAGATTCTACCACCTCCCTAGGTAACGCATTCCAGTGTTTCACCACCCTCATAGTGAAAAAGTTTTTCCTAATATCCAATCTAAACCTCCCCCACTGCAACTTGAGACCATTACTCCTCGTTCTGTCATCTGCTACCATTGAGAACAGTCTCGAGCCATCCTCTTTGGAACCCCCTTTCAGGTAGTTGAAAGCAGCTATCAAATCCCCCCTCATTCTTCTCTTCTGCAGACTAAACAATCCCAGCTCCCTCAGCCTCTCCTCATAAGTCATGTGTTCTAGACCCCTAATCATTTTTGTTGCCCTTTGCTGGACTCTCTCCAATTTATCCACATCCTTCTTGTAGTGTGGGGCCCAAAACTGGACACAGTACTCCAGATGAGGCCTCACCAGGTTGGTGGGACAGAGGGTCCAGCGGTTCCATAGACCCACCCCGGGAACCCTCTCACAGAGCGGAGATACTGTTAAGGAAAAGTTAGCACATGTGACTCCATTTTGGTTTGGGGCCCACCATTGTTTAAATGCCAGCACATCATACACCAGGAGGAGTAATCCTTAGATATTGAATCCCTGTGAAAATCCTCCTCCTTGTCTCCAGCCTTCCTTGACTCCCAGTATCTGGTTTTTGTCAGTCTCTAACTCCCTGTCTCTTGGCCTTGATGTGAGGCCTCCCATCCTGATAATAAAAGTTACTGATGCATAGCTTTAGGACCATGCTGTGTAATTAACATACTGGTATAGCACGAGGAATGCACCAAGCAGGGATAGGTGGTAGATAAGACAAGGGTTTGTTTATTGGCTAAGGTTTCCGATGCACGAGGGCAACATGCTTTGCTAAAAGGTATATAACCTTTGTATAATTTGCATTCAGGGTCCCCTCCTGGCTAGCAGGGGGGCACCACGCTCGAGCGTAATAAACTTAGGGTCTTTTGGGAACTCTGCAGTTGTGGACTTTGTTTCTGTGCCTCAGCCTAGACTCGAACTGTGCGTGACCTATCAGGTATAATTCGCAGCACTGGTGTGCGTGTCCTATCAGGTATAATTCGCAGCATTTGTGTGCGTGTCCTATCAGGTGTAATTCGTAGCACTTGTGTGCGTGTCCTACCAGGTGTAATTCGTAGCACTTGTGTGCGTGTCCTACCAGGTGTAATTCGTAACAATACTGAGCCGGGCCCCTCACCTGCTACCATCAGCTCCATGGGGTCGCTGGGATGCGACCAGACGGAGGGGTCCAATTTGGTGCCATATTGGCAGCTGTAGCTCCCTGTGTGTCTCTGGCTCACGTTGTGGATGGTAAACTCAGCCACGTCCCCAGCAGTCTCAAACCAGTGCAGTACGTCCGGGTTTCCAAGTTTATACATGAGGAACGTCGCTTTCTGGCATCGACACTCACACCGGATGGTCACATTTCGTCCCAGGGCGACTCCCCTGCTGGGGCTCAGGGAGATGGAGGGTTTGGGGTAGCTGAGCTCTGCAGTGAGAAGGAGACAGGCCGTGAGACAGGACCCGGCACAGTCACTGCGCCCCGTCCTCGCCGCACGGTCCCAGACCCGGGGCCCCTGGGAGAAAACCCAGCCAGAGGAACCTCTCCGAGATCCCAGAGATTCCTGGGAGCTACGACCGAAACTGCCTGAGAACCTAAATCCAGAGCACCCTCTGTACCTGTCTATCCACTTAATAGTCCCCCCGAGCCTGGGAGCCAGGACACCTGGGTTCTGTCCCTGGCTCTGGGAAGGGAGTGGCATCTAGTGGTTAGAGCTGGGGGGGCCTGGCAGTCAGAGGTGCGGGGAGCTGCACAGGCACAGTGAGAAAAAGCCCCCACCCTAAAGCCAACCCTGACTCTGTAACCAGACACAAGGTGCAGGGAGGATGATTCATACAAGGGGAAATGGAAGCCCGGGGAAGTAAGGGACACCCCCAAGGACCCCTGGGGGCAGGGATCCCCCCCCGCGTCAGTCCTGAATCTACAGCGGCTGGGAACCCCCCCATGACTCTGTCCCTGCTCCCCAGGACCCTCACCTGCTACAACAATCCGCAGGTAATCATGGGGCTCCGGCTCCAATCTGGAGCGAGATCTGCAGTGGTAGAACCCTGCGTCTTCCCGTCTGGCGCTGGGGATGGTGAATTCACCCCCGTCCCCAGCAGCGTCCAGCTCCTGGATTTGGATTCCATCTTTATACAGAAATAACCTCCTGGCCTCGCACCGACACTGACAGCGGATGGTGACGGCTGCCCCCGGGACGATCACCCCGCTGGGGCTGGCGGAGATGGAGGGTCTGGGCGCAGGGAGCTCTGCGTTCACACACAAACCGGAGTGAGATGGGGAGACACAAACCCCTCCCCATGTGTCTGTAACCTGCCCTCAGTGCCCAGCTCCAGGGACAGCACCGCGGATAACAGACACCTCACTGCATCTACAGCAGGGGTCTCAAACGCAAATGGCCACAAGGGCCACATGAGGACTAGTACATTGGCCCGAGGGCCGCACCACTGACCCCACACCCGCTGCCCTGGCCCTGCCCCCACTCCACCCCATCCATGAGGCCCCGCCCCTACCCCGCCTCTTCCCAACCCTTCCCTGCCCTCATTCCAACCCCTTCCCCGAAATCCCCACCCCAACTCCGCTCCCTCCCTGCCCCCAGGGGGTGCAGGAGGGGTGAGGGGTGTGTCGGGGGCTCAGGGCAGGGGGTCGGGGTGCAGGGTGGGGCAGGGGGTCAGGGCAGGGGGTTGGGGTGCAGGAGGGGTGTGGGGTGCTGCAGAGGGCTCAGGGCAGAGGGTCGGGGTGCAGCAGGGGTGTCGGGTGCAGCAGGGAGCTCACGACAGGGGGTTGGGGTGCAGGAGGGGTGCGGCAGGGGGCTTAGGGCAGGGGGTTGGGGTGCAGGAGGGGTGCAGGGTGTGGCAGGCGTGGCAGGGCAGGGGTTCGGCTGCAGGAGGCGTTCGGGGGGCGGGTCCAGCCCGGCATGCACCGGGGGCAGGGCAGGCTCCCTGCCTGCCTGCCCTGCCCCTGCACCACTCTGGGAAGTGGCCGGGACCTGGGGGAGGGGGGGGCACAGAGGTCTGTGTGTTGCCCTGGCCGCTCCTCCAGGTACCTCCCCTGAGGCAGACACGGCCAACGGGAGCTTCGGAGGAGGTACCTGGAGGAGCGGCCAGGGCAACACACAGACCCCTGTGCCCAGCCGCTTCCTGGAGTGGCGCGGGGGCAGGGCAGGCAGGCAGGGAGCCTGCCCTGCCCCCGGTGCACGCTGGGCCGGAGCCGCTCTCGGTAAACGCTGGGGGGGGGCGGCAGGGGGTGCCACGGGGAGCTGGCGGCCCGCAGTTTGAGACCCCTGATCTACATGGAACCTGTGAGCCGGGTTCTGGTCTCAGCCCCCGGGGTCAATCCGGAGTCACTCCTGACTGCACTGGGGGCAGGGCTGGGTTCTGATCTCAGTCCGCTGGGGTCAATCCAGAGTCAACCCTGACTGAGTTTTGGGGGAAGGTTCAGGTCTCAGCTGTTCTTTTCCCCTCCACCTTCCCCCCCCCCCATCCTTAACACTTAGCATTGAGCAGCACAGATACTCACCTCTGGACGCCTCGCTCTGCCTGGCCAGCCAGCAGCCTAGAGAGGAGATGGCTTGTTAGGGACCAGATCCCAGAGTGACTGGATCCTACACTCTGGTCTCAGATTCTCCCCCAGGGCACGTGGCCTGGTCTCAGATCCTCCTTCACAGGCACACGCCCTGGCTGTCTCCAATACTCACCGATGAAGAGGACGGTGAGAGCAGATACCATGATGGGGCAGTGAGGGGGCGCCTCAGCGCTGCCACCAAAGCCGCAGTGCCTGGCTCCACCAAGCCCCAAATAAGGAACTCAGCCGGTGGCTGCAGCTGGAGGGAGTTGAGGATGTCTCATCTCTTCCTACATCTATCACACCTTGTCTCTAATCTGCAGGCGAAATCTAACGCAGCTAAAATAAGCAGCAGTCACTGAAAAACCGAGGAAACCCTGAGAGCTTCAGCCTGGCAAATCATCATGCAGCTCGCAGCTTGTTCGTGTCTGTGGGGAGCGGGGACAGGTCACCCTCAATTTCTCCTGCAGCCTTGGGGAAGGTGCAACAGGCTGGGAACCAGGAGACCACAGGGTCTAGTCTTCAATTTTCAACTGACCACGATTTCCATGCAGATTCCCCCCTCCCATCCTGTCCTTTCTTACATTCTGGAATCAAACCTCACCGGTGACCCATGTAGGTAAAATTAATACGTGTTCATGCAATTAAAGGCTGGCGTCGTAATGCATGTGCATGAGGGGGCGGAGTTTAGGTTGTTCAGGAAACTATCTGTGGCATTTTCCGGTGCTGGAGGGTTTGACTCTGCAGCCTTCCCGCTCAGCCTGCCAACCTGCCCACACGCACAACACCTGCCCTGGCACCGTGTGAGGAGCGGGCGTGATGGGGAACACCTGGGTTTGCTGCCCCTTGCACCATAACTGAGCAGGGAGGACGGCTTTACGCTGTAACGCCTGGTTCAAAGGGTCTTTTCTCAGCGTGTGAATTAAATAAACCGGGTTGAAAGGAAAACTGGAGCAAGAGAAATTCCATCCCGTGCATCCAGCTGGGAGAGACCCAGGGACCTTCTAATGCCCCTGCAGAGACCCTGCCCCCGAGCTGGAGGAGACACTGTCAGTGGTTATGTGCCCAGGCCCCTAGAGAGGGACGTGACACAGGCTTTGTTTATACGCCATTGGCTAGAGGGCAGGAGGAAGCTGGGGGTCAGGAAAGTTTGAATCAGTTCTGGGCTCTGGCAGGGGAGTGGGGACTAGTGGTTAGAGCCAGGGGGTAGAGCTGGGGCCCGGACTCCTTGTGTCACCATCTTGGGGTCGCCTCCCCCCCCACACACACAGTGCTGGGCCAGGCCGGGGCTGCATTAAAGGTGCTTCAGCTTCCCAGCCGACGGGTCCCAATTAGCCTCCTTCACTCAGCCCCCTCATCCCAGGACCCCGACCCCCCTGCTCACCAGACCTCCGGGAGCCTTTGCCCCTGGCCCCGGAGCAGGAGGGAGACGAGCAGCAGGCTCATTGCGAAGCAGGGTCATTCCCCCCGCCCCCTAGCCTGTCCCCCTCCGCCCCCCGGCCTGACTCCCCGAGTCTCCCAGCTTAGCCTGTGTCACCCCACACCCCTCCTCCCCGCATTGTGCCCCCTGGCCCGTGTCCCCTCACAGACCACTGGCCCCTTCCTCCACAACCCCGCAGCATCTCTGTCCTGCCCCCTCTCACAGCCAGCCCCCCACTAGTTATGGCCGACATCTCCCATTGCTCTCCAAGGGAAGGGACCCCGGCTGCCCTCAGTTAACATGGCCACCCCGTCACCCCCTGCAGCCCTCGCAGGCCAGGCTGCCCCCTGGCTAAGATGGCCGACGCCTCAGCCTCGGGGTGGGGAACAATCCTTCCCCCCTGGACTGTCTATGGGGCAGGGAGGGGTGACTATGGGGTTGGGGGCATTACGGGACACAGAATGTGGGGCAGGGAGGAATGCGTGTGGGGGGGAACTGAGGGGACAGAAAAAATGGGGAACCTGAGGCTGAGGGGGCTGGAGCTGGGGTGAGGCTGAGCAGGGGGCAGTGAAAGGGGCGGCTGCTGGGGGTAGAAATGGGAGTCCAGGGGGAACTTGGGGGCACCAGCTCCCCCCTCACTCCTCAACCCCCCCCCAAATCCTGCCCCCCAGCTCTCAGGTTCCCCATTTTTTCTGTGAGGAGGGGAGCCTGGCTGCTCTCAAACTCCATCCTGGCTCCTCTCCCCTCAGCCCCCTCCCGACCAACTTCCCTCAAACTCCAGGCTCCCTGCATCCGGTTCCCCCCAAACACCCGCCATAGGGGGCCCAGAAGTGCCAGGGGCTAAATCCCTCTGCACCCTGTTTTGTTCATGGAGACACAATGAAGGGCCCAAGGTGCGAACATGCCCCAGCCCCTGCCCCACACTGAACAGGCCAGGCGGGGTCCAGAGCCTGCAGCCTGCTCAGCCCCATGGTAAACCCCCCATTGACCCCTGGGACCGGCTGTGACAGACCCAGCAGAGCAGGAACCAGGGAGCCGTGGCAGGCGCCGTGTGAAACGAGGGGTTTGTTCCAGTCCCGGCCCCATTCCCTGGAGCGAGCCTCTAGCCGGAAAATCCCCTGGGTTTGGGCGTCTCCCCACTGGCCCCGGAGACGCTAGCGACTGTCCTGGGGGGGCAGAGGAGCCGGCGGAACTGGGCTGGAGCCGGCGTCGCCGCGGCTGCTGTTAAAGTCCGACCCCATTTCCTCCCGGGTTGGGGGTACAGCCGGGGGAGGGGCGATGGCATCGGGGTCCCTCTCTCCGGCCGCTCTGCTCAGGATGCCTCTGCGGAGCAGGGTCCGGACGGCCCAGGGGGCCCAGGGTACAGGGGGTGGCAGCCACGACGGTGAAGCCAATTTCCCTCCCCCCGTCTCTTTAAGGCCCAAGTCCAGAGAAAGGGCCCATGAACCTCGTGGCAGGCGGCACCTAGGGGGGAGTTGGGGCCGATCAGCTCTGAATTGATGGTGATGCCGGGCTGAGCACGGGGCAGGCTGAAGCCTGAAAAGCAGGAGCTAGGCAGGGGTTGGTGGGTGAAGGTCTCCCGGTCTAGAGAGGGGAGGGGGAAATCGAGGAGAACAGATGCCCAGGATGCCGGCCCCGAGGGAAGGGGCCCCGGAGGAGGGCGGAGAGGGACCCTGATGGAGAGGAAGCAGCCCAGGTTTGGGATGGGACACAGGTTGGCTGCTGGTTGTAGGTCTCTGGGCTGGACCCTGGAGTGGCAGGCGGGCCGGGGTTCCCCTACCAGCCAGGGGGGCAGTGGCACAGAGCGGGCAGAGGAGCAGGAGCCTGCCTGGACCAGTCACCCAGTGGGAGTTTGATACCCCAGATGGGGAGGACCAGAGCGACCGGCCAGAGGCCAAGCCCCAGAGAGGGGGCACCCAGAGTGATGCAAAGGCAGCATAGAATCATAGAATATCAGGGTTGGAAGGGACCCCAGAAGGTCATCTAGTCCAACCCCCTGCTCGAAGCAGGACCAATTCCCAGTTAAATCATCCCAGCCAGGGCTTTGTCAAGCCTGACCTTAAAAACCTCTAAGGAAGGAGATTCTACCACCTCCCTAGGTAACGCATTCCAGTGTTTCACCACCCTCTTAGTGAAAAAGTTTTTCCTAATATCCAATCTAAACCTCCCCCACTGCAACTTGAGACCATTACTCCTCGTTCTGTCATCTGCTACCATTGAGAACAGTCTAGAGCCATCCTCTTTGGAACCCCCTTTCAGGTAGTTGAAAGCAGCTGTCAAATCCCCCCTCATTCTTCTCTTCTGCAGGCTAAACAATCCCAGCTCCCTCAGCCTCTCCTCATAACTCATGTGTTCCAGCCCCCTAATCATTTTTGTTGCCCTTCGCTGGACTGTCTCCAATTTATCCACATCCTTCTTGAAGTGTGGGGCCCAAAACTGGACACAGTACTCCAGATGAGGCCTCACCAATGTCGAATAGAGGGGAACGATCACGTCCCTCGATCTGCTCGCTATGCCCCTACTTATACATCCCAAAATGCCATTGGCCTTCTTGGCAACAAGGGCACACTGCTGACTCATATCCAGCTTCTCGTCCACTGTCACCCCTAAGTCCTTTTCCGCAGAACTGCTGCCTAGCCATTCGGTCCCTAGTCTGTAGCTGTGCATTGGGTTCTTCCGTCCTAAGTGCAGGACCCTGCACTTATCCTTATTGAACCTCATCAGATTTCTTTTGGCCCAATCCTCCAATTTGTCTAGGTGCTTCTGTATCCTATCCCTCCCCTCCAGCGTATCTACCACTCCTCCCAGTTTAGTATCATCCGCAGCCGGGGTCTAGGCAGTGAGTGCGAGACCCCAGGGTGAGAGACCGAAGGAGGGGGCGTCGGACAGGATATGAGCTAATCCCCAGACGTGGCTGCAAGGAGGCTCCCTGGTGGTGAGTATAACATACCTAAGCCCCTTCATTCTCACTTTAAACTGATTTTTACGGAAAAAATCCCGGGTTTTACAAAAATGTGGTTTATTCCAATTTTCACCCGTCTTATGTATCATTCAAATATATAAAAAGTAACCTGTTTTATTAGGAAAATACAAGACACATTGCCTGAGAGATCTCTATTATGCTAAAACATTAGTCTGTGTGGATATGCAGAGCTGCTGGCTGAAGTAAGGCTTCGTATTAGCCTAGAAGATACACCCAACAACCAAACAGGTCCACGGGGGGGCAGTCCTGGAGTGAGGGGGAGGGGACACGGCAGGGTGGGGGGCAGCCAGTCTCCCCCTCGCCAGGTACCTAACACATCTAGCCCCCCAGGAGGCTGGAGCCGGGACTGAACCAGCTGCCGCTCTGTCTCTGCCTGCAGCTGAGCATGGAGCTGCTGCTCCTCCTGCCATCTGGTGGATGAAGATGGTCCCCACAGGCACCGGGACATTCTGGGCCCAATCACTTGATGAGCACGTGGTCCCCGAACAGCAGATCTCTCAGAGGGGTCCCAGGATTGGGGGTCCAGCAGCAGCTATGCAGGGCCTTTAGCAGACATGGGGGGAACCGGGGAGGAGATTAAAAGTGCCTGGGCCAGGAGCCGTGTGGCCCCCTGGCTCTGAAGCCTGTGGGTTCAGGCTTACAGGGAAACTTCATTAGAAGCCCCAGGATTCAGAGAACAGGTGTATGGGGAAATTTCATGAGAAGGCCCAGGATTTGAGGGTGAGACCTAATGGTAAATTCCATGAAAATCCACAGGATAT